TAAGATGGTGGGAATAGTGAAAGAGGGGGCTTAGAAGGATTTTTCTTCTCCATGTAACAAACTTCGTTGAATAATGCTGATGGATTTAAAGAAGGTGTTTATGGTAGCAGAGGCAGGCTCAGCTGGGAGGTGGATGCTTCACTGTGCTGCCAGGTGTTGCATCGAATAGCACCTGCAGCCATCTTGCAGTATGATCCAGTGCATGAAGGTGACATGGAAAAGTATAACAGAAAACTGCTCAGACTTAAAATAAATCACACATTTGCATTTTGAGCGTATATCTAATTTTATCTTCTATCTACATAGCTGGATTTATATCTAATTTCTCTATTGAAAGATGTAGCTTGAAGAACATTAATCAAATATTATTACAGGCATGCCTAATTCCAAAAATTTGTTGAAGAAGGTGCAGGTAGCCTCAGCATGCAAAAACTAAGTATCTGTATTTTTCCAGGATCAAGGCCTCATCTTCTTCTTTACAATTAGTTTAAAGGTATATTGCATACACTTAGATTAAATAATACTCTAGCATGGAGCAGACTGTAGGGAAAATTAGATCTCTCAATCAAGCTTTCAGTTCCTAAAGGCAGATGTCCCTATTTGGACCTATTTAGCATGCAGTCGGGATAATATGAGATGTGAAATGCTTTGGGATAATTTAGGTAGCTCTGAGTCTTTTTAAAGAAAATTCCTTGTTTTTAAACAGGCCTAAGGGTTTATTTAAATCATTCAAAATATTTTATGCTAAATTGTTCAAAAATATTTTAGGTATGTACAAATATGGTATAGCAACACGCATTTTAGATATAAAAATATATACCCCTTAGATCCTTGTATTTGATTTAGGGGAGTTTTTATTTTAAACACTGAAGAGTAAAAATAGAAATTAAAATAGCAGTTGAACCAGTTTTGGGACAGAGAAGAAATATTTCTACATCATTATTTTAAATTGATCACCATGAAATCTAGTGGAGAATGAGATTTACACACACAGGACAATTAGGTGAGCATTGCATGACTGTAGGAAACAGAAAAAAGTCTGGAGATGTGCGATTCATTAAATAGAAGATGAATAAATGTAGTCTGACCTAACCAGTCATTTCAAGAAATTGGGTAAAGTAATTTCCCCTTCAGCCTGTGTAGCACCATTTCTCTTGTTTCCCCTGAGCTTCTTGTAAAAGGAGAGACTAAATTAAAACTATTGAGGTATGTGTATATTTCTAGAGATTTCTTTACAGATTGTTTAAATCCTCTTGCCATCAAGAGAGGCACAGTATTTTCATAATCTTCAAAACCTTTTGTAAATGATCTTTACTGTAAGTTTCCCCTGCCAAAAGTAATTGAAATCCAGCAAGAAAAGAAAGGTCCTTGGTAGTGCTCCTCTGCCTTTGTTTTTGAAAGGTGAGGAGTGAGGTTCACACCTGGCACTGTGGTGTTTGCTCATTAAGTAAGGGTGCTCGGAGAAATCTTCATTTGTTAATTACAGGTACTGAGGATGCCTTAAACCCTCACAGGCTGAGAAGGGAAGGCAGCATTAGCTGCCTGTTCGAGAGGCCCACAGGTGTGCATCTCTGTGCAGGGGAATCCATAGGGTGCCAGAGTCCCTAAGGCCCCTGAGTGGTGTCATTTTTGCCAGCTGAGGATCTGGCCCAGCTCATCTCCCTGTTCTGGCCTGTCCCTGTTGTGTTTGCTGCTGATGCAACCACCCCAGCCTAAAGAAGTTGGGTGCAGAAGACCAAAGGCAGGTAACTTGTGTTTTTAGGGGGAATTAACATTGCCCTGTTAGACCCTGACAAGTAGGCTTTTCCCTGTGGAGGACAATGCCCCAGCAAGTTTAACAAACACAGTGAAAATGATTTCTTTATCAGCATAAAGTCATTTTGTTGCACACTGAGACCTGCTAAAATATAAATATTAGCTATTTAAATGTCATGTGTGTTGTGCCCCCCGTCTGTTTTTAAGGTATCATAAGGAGATGGGGAGCTGCTTTCCAGAGAGGTGGATTATTTGTACCAAATTATGAAAAATGTGCTCTCCCCCAAAACTCAGCAAACTCACCCCAGCAGTGGTCAGCACTGGCATAGGGAAGCACCATGAGCAAGGACTCTTTGAGGCACAGCTTCAAAGCTCTGAAGATCTAAATAGGTTCCTCTTACATGTTCGCCACTGCTCTGCCTTGCAGTAATCTGTAAGAGAAGCAGGATATTTACATGAACTCAGCTGTGTGTCTTTACTATTTCCAATAGCAGTTGGTGGAAAGCTTTGATTTCCAACAGAGGGATAATGCCAGTTTTGTCTATGCAGACTGCAGCGTGTAGGCTTGTGAGTTCTGGCTTACTGAGGTACTGCGGGGTAATGTTTCCAACAATTTTGTAATCTTGATCCGATGATTTACTCTATTCTTAATTTCTTGAACAGACATAAATCTCTATATTAAGAGACACAGAGACAGAATTTGTCTTCTGGATGAGTATTTTCTACATATTGTCTCTGCCAATGAGTTTTTGTTGTTGTTTTGTTTGCTTGTAGAGGAGGAAATATATGCTGGTTGCTTCAGAACAAGCTATTTTTGCCATGGCATTCTTAGATGTTTCCAATCTGGCAAGTATGAGAGGTGAATCTCTTTTTTTTTCCCCCAATTGACAGGCCACTATGTCACATTTTCAATCAGCCTGTGTAGGTTTGCATGTCCAGTTGGGTTGTGTGCACAGCAATTGCATATGCAGTTCAGTTTTAGTTACAGGATTGCATACATTTTACTCATGCAGAAAGGCAGAGTTGTGGGGCCAGTCCTGACCTCTCTTTACCTTTGTAGTCACAGTTGTTTTCAGGTTGTTTCTGACATCAGAGGGCAAGAAGGGAGATGCTCTGCACTCACACATCTGTTGAGCTGAGTTTGAGATAAATCACTGAGTGTTCTTCAGAAGGATGAGGGATGTCAGACTTAACAGAAGTGACACTTCATCAAGAACGTCTTCCTATAAAGTCCAAAGGAGCAGAGAAAGCTTGGAGGAAAAAAAAAAAAGTCATGTGGCATTCATTCATCTACACTTTTTATAATCCTTAAGTTTTTATTCTCTACGTGAGTGTTGCTATATATCCAAGTGGGCACAGAGGTACAGAAAACCTCTTAGTGGCTAGCAGATATGATACAACAATCAGTAAAGCAAAGGGGTTGGGGGGAAGGACCAAACCCTTGCAAAGAGCTTTATTTTTGGTCATCACATAGAGTATTAATCTGCTGTGCTCTCTAAAACTGAAGCCTCATGTTCATCTGTACTTCACGCTGTGTGACTTTGTTCGATACAATCTTGTCTGTTGAGATGAAAAAAAACTTTTGACTTTGATGAAACAATGAATGTTATATTTCTGATGAACCCTATCATCTAATTTTTATATTGACATAGTAAAAAGCACAGTGAGAAATGGAAGTACAATTTTTCTATTAGATAGGTTTTGGGAAAGCAACATGTTTCTTTAAAAATGTCACCTCTCAAATAGGGGTGATAAACAATACTAAATGAGTATGAAACAGTGAGTTTTCTGGAATGAAGCAGAAATGTGTTGTGTAGAGGGAAGGAAGACATTATGTGCTGAGAGAGAGAAGGCATTTTTCCTTTCACAGCGGGTTATTTCTTGCCATTTGTAGGCTGTGGTTGTTTTTTAAAAAAGCAATATGGAAATACATAGCTGCATTCTACTATACAGTACCTCTGAGCAAGGATTATTAAAAATGACAGGCAGACTTCTTTGTATTTGATAATGTCAAGAGCAGAAATAAAGTGCCATGCATTGGCATTATGAGAAATCAGAATAATTCTCTTTTTTGCAAAACCTTTATTACCTAATGGAAGAATGTCATTTTGGGCTTTCTTGCAAGGGTAATTATATTGTGACTCAAAAAGAAACTTTAAACCTGCTTGGTTTTAAGAATGCTTTTCAATTCACCACTATTCAGTTCACCACTGTACAAGCAAAGGTGTACATTTAAATTTTTGCTTGAATGCTTTGTCGAATTTAGGTTTCAGAAATTAACCATTCTACATCAAACAGGGTTTCAGTGCATCACACTTGTGATGGGATACGGAGTACAATGCCGTATCAGTTGGAAAGGCTTACGCAAAACGTGTGGTTTTCTTGAATATGGCATGTCATTCTTTGGTGTTGCACAGCTCGGCTGGCTGAGCTTGACAGTTACGGTGGCACAGTTAGAAAAGGGAGAATCAAACCAGCAGAAGCAGTGCCAGGAGTGGGTTTGAAGTAGTGCTTCCTATTCTACTGTGTCCTCCTCCTGCCATAGTGGCATTGAGGTACACGTGGGACTTCCCATTGTTTGCTAATCTCGTTTTTCTCCTTTTGAAATAATTATTGTCTGACATCTGGAGTTGACATGACATACCCATGACATACCCAGCTTGGGGCTGGCTGTAAAATTGGACTAGGAAGTGCAACTCTGAGTCTGTCCCTTGGCCATTGACAGAGGGCCTGTTTCTATAAGCATCCCATTGCAAGGCTTCCCACGTTGATAGCTCCTCCATTTCACTTATGTTTTTTGGAACTGAGGCCACTCCACACGTGGCATGTGCTAGCTGATCTCACATGAGAGCCACGTTGATTGGATGATGCCATCAAGGTTATTGGCAGGCTGCAGCTACACTTGAAAATCAGTTTGGATTAGTACAGGGTATAAAGTTAAAATGTGCTAGCTGTTTTGAATAACCCCTTATGTCAACATTCTTGTGATTGATTTTGTAAGTTAACATGCTTTGGCTATATGAGTTCTATGGGTAGGTTCAATAAATAGCTCTGTATGTATACACATGTGAGACTGTCCATAAACTGAAACTTTCAGTTTATACCTTCACTCCTATACATTTGTACTAATTTGTAACCATGCATCAATTTATTTGAAATTATTCTTTAATTATGAGTAGCATTTATTGGAGCATGCGTATTTATTGTTAATGATCTTTGTGTTTGTTTGTTTGTTTGTTTTTTAGCTCTTCTTTATGCAACTATTTTTGGAAATGTCACAACCATTTTCCAGCAGATGTATGCCAACACCAACCGATACCATGAGATGCTGAACAATGTGAGAGATTTCCTGAAATTATATCAAGTCCCAAAAGGCCTTAGTGAAAGAGTCATGGATTATATTGTCTCAACCTGGTCCATGTCTAAAGGAATTGACACAGAGAAGGTATGAGTACATGAGGTAACATGACACAATTTGGATAGCAAGAGTTTGTGTCCATTGTGTACTTGCTTAGAAACAGAACTGTGTAACAGCATATAACTTACTAACAAAGTCTTAACTGCATGCTACTCCATTATTGTGGTTGTCATTGGATCAAAAACTGGATGTTTTTTAGAAAAGTTGTGCTGCTTTGGAAATACGCCTTTATTTTTCATTATGGTAAATGTTTTCTGTCTTCTAGTTTGACTTTACCAAAATACTAAACAATTTTAATGTACTTAACTATTGAAATCAACAGGAAATTGGTCTTCAAATTAGTCTGAGGACATAATTTAATGTCAAACCTACATCAGTATTATTCTGAAAAGTATTGGTATCTGTGAGTTGCAATGAAATGTTTGATTGGCTTGGACCTGTTGCTGATGCCCAGGACATCGTCATCAACCTAATTAGTATAGGATTTAATGGCAGTAGCGATTGATCTTCTAGAGCTGAAATCTCTCACCTAGAACTTAAGGCCTTTGGCAGGGAGATACAGAAAATGTGTTCCTGCTGACATCTGTGCTGGGTTCTACTTGACTTTAGCCTTCAGAAAGGACTGGTCGTTTAGGTGTCATCAAAAGTCGAGTAAAGGAAAGGTTGTCTTCAGAGTGATTCATCCATTCTGTTCCAGGACAGACCCAAGTGAACTGTCCTCAGGGCCTCTGTCTCCAACACATGTGTAGTGGAGTCTGTCTAGCCTTGGACTGGATATTTTAGAGAGCTGAAGTCAGATGGGAGGGTTTCTACCTGCAATACCTTGAACGTAGGTAAGATATGACAGTTCTAAGTCTAGCTTTTTGGTCAGTGGAGATTGAGGATGCTCCTTTGACTTCCATGGGGTTGGTACACATCAGCTGAAAGCAGGCACTCAGGCTCCAGTTTCCATGAAGATTTAACATCTGAGAACTTAGAAGGCAATATTCCGAGGGAGGGCAAGGAAGTGTCATAGCACATTAACGTCCTAAAATGTATAGTGTTCACAAAGCTTTGAAGTTCTTGCTTTGGCCGAATTTCTTGTATAATGTGGGATGATGATGCAGCTTGTTCAGATATGCCAAGATAAGTTGCTACACTGACAAATTTAGTCTTACATCATATTGATGCAACGACAGTTATCATACTCATTTTCTGCAATGAAATTCAGTTTACCATCGCAAATATAAAAATGTTAAGCAACACAGATTTTGATTTCTTTGGTTCTTGTACTTCAGTGTGCCACATTCTTTAATATGTTAATTTCTTATACACTAATACCCTAACTTCCAAATGCTGATTCATACAATGTTAATAGTGAGCTTTTCTGTTGTAAACTACTGTAGATGCATTCAGCCTTTTTGTGTAAACTCAAAAACATGTGAAAATTGAACTCTCATTTGCATTTATCTCCTTGCAGTTGAGCCAGTATACTGTATTATTCTGCTACAGTTTCATTAGATTTTAATGATGCTTTGCAGTTAATGAGGAAAACCTATGCTTTAATTACTGAAATTTCCTTCCATAGTTTCCGCATGTCCGGTTTTATAGATTATAAAAATGCAGTTAGAGCCATAATCTTCAGCTTGTGGTAAGCAGTGTTCTCTGGTCTGTAAGATAGTAATGGCTGCTTAGCTAGATAATTAATATGGCTGTAAAATCTGTGACTTAGGTTTTTAACAATTTTCCCTTGGTAAAGACTTGCCTAAGCTTAGGCATGGATCCAAAACCTATTTATAACAGTTGAAGGATTTCAGGAACTTCTGCATCTGGACATCAATAGTTGCATCTAATCGAACTTCCCAGAAAAGCCAGTGTTACAGAAGAACAGAGACAAGATAAACGTAAGAACTTGAGCACCGGTTTGAATATGTTGGTATTTTGTATCCTCTACAGCCTGCAAGTCTGCAAAAGCAACAGCACCAGCAGCCTTTAGTGCCTGCACTGAGCATCCCCAAGTCTGTACAAGTGTAGCAGTTTGCTTTTGACTGCAGAACATTAGTCAAATTGAGGATTTGTTTTAGGATAAGGGTAGAAAGAAGGCTGTTATGTAATAGGGCAGCTTTCCTATGTTTATCTCCACTCAGGACAGTGTTCTAAAGTGCTTCACCAAAACAAATTAGAAAATATTGTAAATCCTAGCTGAGAAATTATGGGAACATTGATACAGTTCCAGAGACTAGTCACGTAGAGTGGATCCTTCCTCTCACATTAGTTCCCTCATTAGCCCTTCAAGCCTGTTGTAAAACCCTCTGCATTTAAGTTGAATCCATCTGTATGATCCCTAGAGCAGCAAGGGGATGGGAGCACACTATAGGGACCCCCAGGGTACACAGGCATAGAGTCAGGTTTATTCCCATAGACACAGTGGGGCTTAGCAGTACTACACTGTACCTGCAGCTCAGCTGCTAAATCCAGACAGTGCTTCAATGTATTTTAGAAAAGGGGATTACTGCCCCAGGTCTTGACTAGCTTCTCTGCACTGCTTTGTCTGACAGCCTGTACACGACCTTAGGGCTCCTTCCAGTCTGGATTTCAAAGCTGCAGTAATGAGATTCTGACCAGTCTGTTGTCTGGATATTTTTGCATCAAATGATTTCCCATTCTCCTTAATTTTTACGAACCTTTCAATAAGCTTCGTATTATGCTGCAAAACATGTGTGCTCATGACACATGGTAATTAGTGAGGAATTTCTAAACTTTTCAGCTTCCATCAGACAGCTCAGACAGTTTCCACCATCAATGGATGTTTTTCAACCTAACATACATTATTACATCCTAAATTGTTCCAAATATATCTGCATTGTCACAATGGAAGGTGTTTTGCAACATCATTTGCCACAAATTTATAATACATTTCATTCAGTCACTCAGCATGTTGAAATGGCTTTGTTTTGAAATCCAAATTCAGAGGACAAGAAGATTAACATACGCAAGAATGAAATTTCTTGTATGAGTGTTACTGTAGGTTCCTATGGTGATGAACCATCCTAGCAATTTGAAGGACTAAAAATAGATACATGTATGTGTTTCTTTGATAACTAAAGATTTTAAATTCATATGCTTGAAATTAAAATATAGTTCATAACTTAATTGGAATTACTACCATTTAACATGTGTAGATTTCTTGCGTCAGAACTCAAATATCTATCTTTGAATGACACTTTCAGTGTGTAGTCCCCAAAGACGATCTTGGCTAAAACCAGGAAGGATGAATCCTTTATCAGATATGCACTGAAGGAAAAGCAGAAGTTACACGTGGAGAAAGTTTAATGAGGATCTAGTCCTCGCTGCCTGTGAGAACAGGCTGTCCCAAGCAAAACGTTTTTTTAAAGCCCCCGTTGGTTATCGTTACGTGGAAGAGGTCTTGTTCTCCCACACTGGAGCAATGGTGCCTTAAGCATAGGCTTCCCTGTTCCCCTTGGGAACAGCTCATCTTCAAATCCCATCTTCAAACCACAGCACTTCAGCGTGTCTCTGAGTGTTCACAAATAAGGAATTAACAATGACACTAAAAGCATTAGTGTATTTATTATTATTACTTAAGAGGAAGCAAGTGGCCTATGATCCATAATCTTAAATCACTTAAACATTAGAGCCCTCCTGTGACAGCTGGGATGATATATGTAGTACATGCACATGGACTCTATCTCCTGGAGTAACAGTGGCTCAGGCAAGATGGAATTTATTTTTATGTTTAATGCTACAGGTTTCAGGGTTATTCATCTAATAATGAGCAGAACTAAGTACATGAGAAAACTAAGATGCCTTTATATACTTAAACAATATTTATCATACAGCAGAATATGCTTTTTGAGAGTCAGTTATAAAAGGAACCAGTGTATTCTCTGCATATGGCCAATTTTTAGCAGGGAAAAAATCTTCACAGTAATAATCTATGAAACACACACTGAATTCAAACCTCTTAAGTTTTTATTGAAATCTACTAGGCAGCAAATGAAAAATTTATAGGTATTAGCTCTTCTGTGAGAAATAGGTCATTATACATGAAAGCAGAACAACCATTAACTTACATGCAGATGTCTCAAGGTCTCATCTAATGATAATGTTCTGAAATGTCAGTAAAACCCAAAGATTTTCCCTTCTTGACCTCCATGCTGTTGTATGGCTTAGGATTTGCTCAGAAAGCAATTAAATAAATGTCTGTCATGTTTTAACAGTCAATTTGTTCGGAAAAGCCATAGGTTGAAATTAAAAAAAAAAAAAAAAAAAAAAAAGGTTCTCTTTAGTTTGAACCTAAGCATCAATGTCGATTCAAATGAGAGCCAATTCCACATTGAAATGACTGAAATAGAAATCATGGGAAAATAACACAGTGTTAAAAATATTCATTGCTGGCCCACTAAGCTTTCATTCAGGAGGGATAGGTTTATGGTAAATAGATGCAGGTTGTAATTTTATTAAACATTTAATCTACAAAAGTACAGTGCAGTTTAGCTGTGTTTACTGTTAATAGGATCTTCAAGAGCTGTAGTAAGAATTAGCATTACCCTGAGAAAAATAGTGGAATGAGGCTGCCATTCCTAGAGTGCCCCATCACATAAAGGTGTCTGTAAGTGCTGGCTGGATTTTCTTCTGGATGACCGGGGTAGAAGGCTTCCAAGCTTCATGGCAAAAGAGAACTTCTACAATATTAGGTGTGACAGCTACATACAATCCCCTGCTGAAGAGGGAAGGTAAAAACCATTTGGACAAGTATTTTTGTTTCGTTGTAGAGGCGGGGTTGTTGGTCGTTCCTTGCAGATCGGGACGAGGTGAACAAGAAGTCTCCCTTCACCTCACAGAGCTGAGCTAGGACCAGGTACAGTTGCAATCCACAATTCTTTGGAGAGCGGGCTGCAGGAGAGATGGTCAGGGTCTCACTGTCCTTCACACAGGTCCAAGTGCAGGGCCTGTGCACCAGTGGGGCTTTCTGTTTCACCTTAATGGATGGTATGGATCATTTACATAGAGCATGCACTGTGCAG